GGGGTTCAATATGGTTGAGAGCGATCACATTAAGAGGGGCAATGAGTGGAATGTCAGGATGCTCTGTGTCAACCACAATATCATCCACAACATCAAGAGGGGCGTCGACTGAAACTGCTGCTTCTGACAAAGTTGTCCTGCTGGATCTACAAATAAGGAACAACAGGTTTCAAGCAAAAGTCCAAAAATTTAGACAAGTTCATTTTTGAAAGCTAATAGATATTTTACCTACTGGCAGGCATGTTTGACACTTCTTGGACAACAGCTTCTTCCATTATGATGTAAATATCTGCAGTAGCAGAATCCCCATGGAACTTTACCATTCTCTTCAAGTCCTTGTCATTTGAGACGGTTATCAGTGTCTTCCTATTACCTGGTAGGAAGTACTTGATGGACATAGAATTGATGTTGCAATTAAACATTTCTGCTACTTCATTCTTGAAATCATTAAACTTCACTTGGTCATCAATGTCAATAGCATGAGCTTCGCCACCTCGATATGATAGAGAACCATCCCCAACAGTCTCAAATCCACCACCGGATTGACAAATAGCTATTATTCTCGTTCCTGCCATGGCCTGCCACAGCAAAAAAATTTCTTGCAAATCATTCCACAAGCTAAAAACTCTGCCACTGCAAAAACACATAAGTGAAATCCAGCAACATTCTTTATGCAAATTCACAAAGAGAAACTGCAGTCACAGGCCAGAATCTGAGACTTTGGTTCAGCTGCTTATGCAAATAATGTAAAAGCGATGACACTATCGATAAGGAAGGGTTAAATCCACACTGCAAATGTCTAAATACACATCCTTCTTTCCAATGGACCAAGATGCCGTTGACGAACAACTGCCTCTGCCCTATCGGTCTGTCCCCCTCATTTGAAACTCTCTTTCTTCCTTATGCCTCTGCCCAGACGCAAAGGATATGAAGAGTTTTATCCAAACCCTCCCGCATTCCAATGCTTGTCATAAAGTGGTCTTACTATGAAGTCCGACTAAAACTCGTAGTTAAGAAGCAGGTAAATATCTTTCTTGTCCGGATTCACTAAAAGGGCAGCTTGATTCATTACAGAAAACCAGATACTCCGTTTCGTCTCTCATGTCCTATACTCTTTCTCTCTTCCCGCGTATTCGCACAAGGGCACATGATCTTATCACTAAAGAAGAAAACTTCTGCCGCGCAATTTTCTTTCCCTTTAACATTCCGGCAAACTTCGCACCAGAACTTAAAACTATGAAAAACCTTGGCACCCATAACTATTTAAATTACTGAAATTGCGCACCTGTGCTAGCTACAGATCTCATCGCCTGATCAAATTAATCATAAAGTCTTCGTCTTTTAGCCATCGAAACCGCCAAAAACATCACCGTCCTCTCCCACAAACCAGACTGCTCACAGACCAAAGGAACTAAACTGATGCGTCGCCTCCAAAGTCAGTATCCAATGCAAGGATAGATGCAGAGAGAAGCATCACATCATACAAATCGTACCCGTTTCGTGCCACGAGAAAAGCGGCAAACTGCTACATTTCCAGTTCACATCCAACCCACGAAATCTCTAACCGGTCCTAGCAATTTCGAGCGGCGACGAGCAGCAGGGTTACCGGAATCACTCGCCATCTCGGGGGAAGCACGCTCCGCGTCGAGGGTCGCCGGCCATCTGGGCAGCCGGACGCCGGCGCTCCGGTTGCCGGCGAAGGGGGAGGAGAGGGGCCGAGCGATCGGAGAAGAGAGACGGAAGAGATCGGATCGAAACCCTAGAGCAGAGCTGGTGAAGAAGGAAGAGGAAGGCTCTCCTCTGTGGCGTGTTTCTTGCCGGCTCTGTTTTTCGTTTTTTTTTTAAGGCTAAAATAATGTTCAAGGACTGTCGATATTTATCTAATTAAAAAAAGAAAATTAGGTGAAAGTAAATTATCATCTAATTTTGCACTAATCTTCGAAAAAAAAGACACACCTTCAAATTGAATTTTTTCCTCCATTAATAAGATCGCGCGCATATATATATACTTGTTGATTGATATTGAGGTCGAAACACTAGGTGATATGGAGATGAGATTTGCTATTTATATCGGGATTTTTTGCTTGGTGGCTCGTCCACCCGAATTGTTGAAATTCATTGAAAGATGGGTAACCGTAAGATGTGGGAGCAATGTATCCACAAATGGCATTTATTGAAGTACTAACGGGGACATCGAACGGGATAGAGGATCTTTGTCTAAATGAATATGATTCTCATAATTTCATAATTTTACTCGTCCATATCTCTCGATGACGATGGGGTGACGTAACTGCTTAATAATTGGTTTCGAGTAATATAATTAAAGAGTTATTTTTTCGGCGGTTAGAAAAAGAAAAGTAGATAAATAAGTACTATTCTCGCTCTCATCTGCTTATAAAAGGTTGGAAACTCTATTACTACGTATGACTTTGATTGAACATGCAAACCCATCTAGAAATGCACTTGAAAGTTAATTAATAGTATTCAAACTCTTCATTTCTAATCTTTTAATCATAATTCATAACCTCATTTTAACTAGATTTTAAGTTTTAACTTTTCATTCCGACTTTATAGCTCTTTTTATTTGGTATAATCTACATTTGAGTGGACAACAACCTCAACTAACACATATTAGATTATTATGTTCATTGTGATAACATTCATGTCAAGAAGATAATGTGGACGACAAACATCGGGGATCGAGGCCTGGCCATCCTTCGTTTGTGATCGACCTTTCAGCTTTGTCCGTCGACATCTGAATGTTTCGATTTGGTACGATTCATCGTCGCATCTTCAAACCTTTTCCCGTGGTCCAATGCCCTCCCCCTAATCCAGGGATTGATCTCTAAAAGGTTATAACAGTACTTAAATTCTCCTTGGTGAGTCGAAGTGTGCATCCGTCCTCCCTTTCCTTGCCGTGCTAATTCTTTTATATCAGCATTCGGGATGAGCTTTGTTTCGGTCTTGAACATCGGCTACAACAGGGCATTGCCGGTCTCAAAGCTTTCCATCGCAGTTCGAACCTCGAGCCCCAGAGCAAGGGTTCCAGTATATCTAGCCGATTTTTAGTGCTAACAAAATAGGCAAAATGCCATCGATCCTCAATAGATTGGCTAAGTGATTGAGGGCTTAATTCAAAGAGAGTAGATCTGAAACACAGTATCTCTCACTCAGAGCGACTTTGAGGATTATCACTGTCAACTCGTGGTTCAAAGTCTCACCTATTGTACTTGGATGGACGGTTTATATGCATGCAACGGGAGCTAGAGATAAGTTGAGTCGAAAGTTTGAGCACCATATGTTATTAATGAAGAATTACATGCTTGAGTTAGCTTCACATGCTTTCTGATGCTTTTCATGGGTAAAACTGACCAAATTTTCTCCAAAACTGGAGATTGGCGGAATCCAGCCAACGAATGTGATTACAGCAAGATAACTCTATATTTTAGTACATTCATAAAAAAAACGAAGCAAAATATTTATTTAATGCCAACAGCAAAGGATACATTTTTTTTTTCCTTTTTGGCTGATAGTAAAAAAGATACATCTTAGAAAGGCAAGCACATAAAAAAAAGGGATAATGACATAATGGTCTTTGAACTTTGGTTCGGTGTGCAATGTGATCCCTGAATTTTGGCTCAATGTGCAATGTGCTCCCTAAACTTTAAATTTGTTCAATGTGATTCCTAAATTTTTGATACATGCTCAACTAAATCCGTGGACTATAAAAAATGTTTAATGTTATCCTTTAACTTGAATTAATTAAATGATAACATTCAACACTTTTATATAGTTCACAGACTAAATAAACATGTATTGAAAGTTCATGGACCAAACCACATTGCACATCGGACCAAAGTTTAGGGATTATTTGTGTCATTTAACCTAAAAAAAATAATGACGATGATAATTTAATTTTTAATCTAAAAGAAACATGTGAGTGAATTCCATTGATTAACATTTATCCATGCATTGACTTATTAGTTAGGGAATGAATTTTACATGTAGGGGTGTGTTTGGTAACTATTCTGCTCTCGGAAATAATTTCTGCTCAGAAATGATTTTTTTAGATTCCATTCCTTGAAACAATTTCCAAGCATTTAAAGGTGTTTGATAACTGTCCAAAATTTCTATTCTTGGAATAGAAAAAGAACAGAAATGTGTTTGGTAACTGTACAAAATTTCTTTTTATTAATAATATTTTGAATTTTTTAATATTTCTTTTTTTTTCTTCCCCTTTCTTGGCCCATGGCCAGGTTGCCGGCGCTGACGAGGGCAGCTAGCGGCTTGGGCGAGGGTCACCCTTAGTGGTGACCACGGGCCGGTTTCGGCCCGGAGCCGGACCGGAACCGGCCCGGTCAAACCCGGGCCCGGACCGGAACCGGCCCGGTCAAACCCGGGCCCGGCTCGTTGACCGGGCCCGCGGTTCGGAACCGGAACCGGCCCGTGCCCTACGGCCCGGTTCCGGTTCTAGAAATTTTTGAACCGGCCCGGAACCGTCGGTTCCTGGCCCGGTTAAAAAAAAAAAAAAAAAAAAAGAAAAAGGCTGCTGATCTTCTTGTTGCGGCCCGTGCCGGGCGGCAACGGGCAAATTTTTTTAAAACCCCGCGACGGGGCTGCACGTCTGCGAGCCCTGCTGCGGGCAAATTTTGTTTAAAAAAATAAACCCCGCAGCGGGGCTGCACGTCTGCGAGCCTGCTGCGGGCAAATTAAAAAAAAAAATAATAAACCCCCGCAGCGGGGCATGCACGTTTGCGAGGCCTGCTGCGGCAAATTAAAAAAAAAAAAAAACCCCGCGGCGAGTGCACGTCGTCGCGAGCCCACTGCGGCGGGCTTGCGCTTGCTGCGGCCGTTGCCAGGGCGGCCTTTGGGGCTGCGGCGGCAACGGCAAAACCAACGCCCAAACGGGCAAAAATTTAAAAAAAAAAAAGATAACCGTTGCAAAATTGCAACGGTTATCTTTTCTTTTTTTTTAATCCTAAATTTTCTTCTCATTTTTTTCTTATAAATTCTCTCAATACTCACAATTCTCTCAAATTCTCTCAAATTCTCTTCTCTCAAGTCTCAAATTTTCTCAATACTCAAAATTCTCTCAAATTCTCTTAAATTCTCTCAATTTTCTCAATCCACGCAATTCTTTCTTAATTCTCCCAATTAATCCACTCAATTCTCTCAATCCACTCAAAAAATGACAAGTGGAAGTCGAGTGCCAACTGGCAAAGGTAAGAATATCATGACGGAATCCCATCATTCTTTTGATCCTCGTGAATATGCAGATTTTCAAGAGGATGAAATCAACATTTTTCCCGATATGGAGCGCGTCCCGACGCAAGAAAGTTTTCATCCTCCTGCCGAAATATCTACAACAAAGGAAGCAGAATGGGAATTTACATCTGACATTTGGAATCACTTCACGAAAATGGAAAGGTTTGATATTGGTAAAAAAAGGTATGATATAATTTGTAAATATTGTGGGAAAATATATAAATATACAGGTGGACAAAGATATGGAACATTTAAACGACATCTTAGGAGCAAACATCCAACCGAAACGGGAATCGATATCGGGCAACAACAAATTTCCGGGTACGTCAATCCTAACACTTCCCCTTTATTTCGTTTTAATGAAAAAACTTATAAGGAAGAATTAGGCAAATTTATTTTCGTTGAGCATTTAGCATTTAATTTTGGAGAAAGATTTGGTTTTAATGAATTTGTACAAAAAACATGTGCTCCACAAGCAAAACGTGTTCCTAGAAATTCAACTAAACGAGTAATTAAAGATCTTTACAAAAATGGAAAAAAAGATTTACAAAACTTTTTTATGCAATTTAATGGATGCGTGCATATAGGTAGTAATATTTAGAGTGATCATTGGCAAAATCATTCTTACATGGGCATAACATGTCATTGGATAGATGACGAGTGGAGTATTCAAAAAAGAGTTATTGTATTTAGAGTTTTCGATGATAAGCATACGGCAAATAATATTTATAGAATAATTATGCAAGTTTTAGAAGAATATTATTTGCTTAACAAAATTTTTTCAATTGGTTTTGATAATGCCGTAGCAAATACCGCTTCAATTGGCGATTTAGAAAATATTTGTAAACCCGCTTTTGGCGGAAAATTTTTTCACGTTAGATGTGCTTGTCATGTTTTAAATTTATGTGTACAAGATGGTTTGAAAACTCTTGATATTTTTCTTCAACCAATAAAAACGGCGATTCAATTTTTATGGAAACATCCCCAAAAAATGAAAGAATGGGGTAGATTTTGTAGAGAAAATGGCAAAAAGCCAAAAAGATTTCCAAGAGATGTTCCAACTCGTTGGAATTCTACTTTTCACTTGCTTAGTGAATCTTTAGCATATAAAGATTTATTATGTGCATTCATTTCTAATAATATACCTCATATTAATTTATACCCACAAGAGTGGGATATTTGCCAAAAATTTTTAGATGTTTTAAAGGTTTTTAATGATGCAACTTATACTTTATCCGGTGTTTATTATCCTACTACACATTTATTTTTAGTAGAGTGTACTAATATTGTCGAAATTTTTGATGAATATGAAAATGATGTTGAATTACAACATACTATCGTTGCAATGAAAATGAAGTGGCTACATTATTATAGCGAAATTCCCATTATTTATTTAGTTGCTTGTGTTTTTGATCCGCGTTGCAAATTGGATGGCTTAAATGATTTTTTGCGTACGTATTATCAATGTTTACATTATGATGCGATAAATGTTACAACCATAGTACGTGAGGTTAAAAACGTAGTAATAGAAATATATAATGAATTTTATACTAAATATAATTTAGGTGATATTGGATCTTCTCAATCTACGGAGATACAAAATGACAGTACAGGTAAAATTAGTAGAGGGTACCAACTTTTATTACATAGACAAAAAAAACAAAAGGGAGTAATAGAAAATATTTCTGAATTAGAAATTTATCTAACCGTTTCATTTGAGTTTATTGAATCCGAAGGTGGTACAGATTTTTTAATTTTGGATTGATGGAAGAGGCACGCAAGCTAATACCCAATCCTTTCTCTTATTGCAAAACAGATTTTTTCAACCCCTTGTTCCACAGTTGCGGTCGAACAAGCATTCAGTGCCGGAGGTAATATTTTGGACGAACATCGTTCAAGATTAGCTCCAGAATCAGTGGAGATTCAAGCTTGTGTTGCTGATTGGACGAAGGCTCAATACCGGCAACAAGAGATAGATCGGAATAATGAATCCGAATTCTTTAACGACGAAGATACTACCGCTACTGGTACCGGTACCGGTACTGGAACGGGTAGTGACGATTGAGGGTAAAAGAACTATTGGAGTTGGTAAATATTTCGGGAACCCTTGTTTCTCATACCGGGTACGCCCACGTGAGCTTAGGGAAACCGAAGTATAATCCGACGACATGTGACCTCTGGTCCCCTGCGCACGGAATGCTTAGGTTTTGGGATCATTTTAGGGCATATATATTGTGCTCCTTTTTTTTATAGATCGTTGTAACGAATTGTAATGTGCTTAATGATAATTTATTAAGTTCAAGCCCTCTCTTTCTCTCTTGTCTTTTTGTCCCCAAATTTGATTACAATTTACATTTTAATTACAATTTATATTGAATAATGTTCCGTCACCGGAACAGTAATTTTTTAAGTTTTTAATTATTTTCTTTTCTGTTTTTCCTTTTCTGTTTTTTTTCTTTTCCTTTTCCTTTTTTTTTTTTTTCGTTTCTTCCTCCGCCGGCGTCGGGCGAGGCCGCCCTCGCTTTGGTGCCGGGCGAGGCCGGCCTTACCGGATCGGGCGAGGCCGGCCTCGCCCGGTGCGGCGAGGTCGGCCTCGCCGGCCGGCGAGGTCGAGCCTCGCCCAGATCTGGCGAGGGTTCGACCTCCGCCGGCCTCGGGGAGGCCGGCCTCGCCCGGTGCCGACGAGGTCGAGCCTCGCCGGCGTCGGGCGAGGTCGGCCTCGCCGGTTGCGGGCGAGGTCAGCCTCGCCCGACATCGGCGAGGTCGAGCCTTCGCCCGATCTCGGCGAGGCCGGCCTCGCCCGGCCCAAAGCGAGGGCGGCCCTCGCCCGAGCCGGCGAGGGCGGCCTCGCCTGAGGCCGGCGGAGGTCGCCGGCCCCCGGCTATGGCCGGCGGAGGAAGAAAAGAAAAAAAAAAGAAAAGGAAAAGAAAAAGGAAAAAAACAGAAAAGAAAAATTATGAACCGGCTCGGAACCGGTTCCGAACCTGAACCGGAACCGGAACCGGCCTGGAACCGGCCCGGAACCGTCCGGTTCCGGTTCATACTTGGCCACGAACCGGAACCGGTCGGTTCCAAACCGTGGCCATGACTAGTCACCCTTACTAGATCTGGCGAGGGCGACCTTCGCCCAGGCTACAAGCCGCCCTTGTTGGATCTGGCAAGGGCGACGGCAAGGGTAGCCCACGATAGATCCGGCAAGGACGATCCTCGCCCAGGCGGCAAGGGTCTAGCCCATGCCCTCGCCGGCAAGGGCCGCGACACCCTCACCGGCCTTGGCCTGTGGCCGTTCGCCGGTGGCCGCTGACTAGCCACAGGCCAGGAAGAAAACGAAGAAGAAGAAGCAGAAGAAGCAGAAGAAGAAGAAGAAGAAGCAGAAGAAGAAGCAGAAGAAGAAGCAGAAGCAGAAGAAGAAGCAGAAGAAGAAGAAGAGAAGAAGAAGAAGAAGAAGAAGAAGAAGAAGAAGAAGAAGAATTTCTTTTCCATTTCTGATTCGTGTTCCTAGAATCAAGAAGTAGCTAAGAAGAAGAAGAAGAAGAAGAAGAAGAAGAAGAATTTCTTTTCCATTTCTGATTCTTGTTCCTAGAATCAAGAAGTAGCTAAGAAAAAGAAGAAGAAGAAGAAGAAGAAGAAAAGAAGGAGAAGCAGAAGAAGAAGAAGAAGAAGGAGAAGAAGCAGAAGAAGGAGAAGAAGGAGAAGGAGAAGAAGAAGCAGAAGAAGAAGAAGAAGAAGCAAAAGAAGAAGCAGAAGAAGCAGAAGAAGAAGAAGCAGAAGCAGAAGAAGAAGGAGAAGAAGAAGGAGAAGAAGCAGCAGAAGAAGAAGAAGAAGGAGAAGAAGGAGAAGCAGGAGAAGAAGGAGAAGAAGGAGAAGCAGGAGAAGAAGAAGCAGAAGGAGAAGCAGAAGAAGAAGAAGAAGAAGGAGAAGCAGAAGAAGAAGAAGAAGAAGCAGAAGCAGAAGAAGAAGAAGAAGAAGCAGAAGCAGAAGAAGAAGAAGAAGCAGAAGAAAAAAGAAGAAGAAGAAGCAGAAGAAGAAGAAGAAGCAGAAGAAGAAGAAGAAGAAGAAGCAGAAGAAGAAGAAGAAGAAGAAGAAGAATTTCTTTTCCATTTCTGATTCTTGTTCCTAGAATCAAGAAGTAGCTAAGAAGAAGAAGAAGAAGAAGAAGAAGAAGAAGAAGCAGAAGCAGAAGAAGAAGAAGAAGAAGAAGAAGAAGAATTTCTTTTCCATTTCTGATTCTTGTTCCTAGAATCAAGAAGTAGCTTTTTCTTGCTTCTTGATCTCATTCAAAGCGATTCTAGGAACAAATTTGTGCAAATTTGTGCTCGGGAACAAAAAATTTACCAAGCGATTTCATTCCAAAAGCGATTCTAGGAATAAAAGAATATAATCGGTTACTATTTGACCAATTACCAAACACACCCTGGGTTACTTGCCCAATGTAGGTTCAATTCTCTGCAACATGAAAAGGAAACAATTCTATGTCTGGACCTCCCACTCGTACTTTGGCTTGCTAGGCAATTTCCATTTCTGATTCTTGTTCCTAGAATCAAGAAGTAGCTTTTTCTTGCTTCTTGATTCTGTTCCAAAACTGATTCTAGAAACAAATTTGTGCAAATTTGTGCTCGGGAACAAAAAATTTACTAAGCAGATTTCTGTTCCAAAACTGATTCTAGGAATAAAAGAATATAATCAGTTACTATTTGACCAATTACCAAACACACCCTGGGTTACTTGCCCAATGTAGGTTCAATTCTCTGCAACATGAAAAGGAAACAATTCTATGTCTGGACCTCCCACTCGTACTTTGGCTTGCCTTGCCTAGCCTATTAAGTTTATTGCAATACTTTCATGAGTTTGAGATTTATCTACGAGACGTACACTTCATTGACATATAAAAATATAACATTATAAGTGTAACGGTCCACATTCAGTTTTAAAGGGTACCGTGTCTTCAATCCATCCACAGGCTGGTTCTTTGTAAGCAGAGATGTTTTTCATGAAGATGTAGTTCCTTTTCAAGATCAAGTGTCCTCGCCTCAATAGTCTAACTCGACGCCTGATTCTCCGTCAACTACAAGTCATTTAATTGAGCCATCGCTAACGCCATCTAAGGAGATTTTAGTTCCTTCTTCGTCGGCAGCTCCTCTGACTAGTGATCACTGTTTCTAGCAAGTCTCTTATCTTTGATCCTGAGCATAACACACTTACTATACATCGATCCACTCATCCCCTACATAGACTACGGATTATATTTGTCATACCTTGAACTCCAGAGTTACTCTCTACCTTGTCTCCCCTTATGTCAGTTTTGATTGGCTATTACCATAGCACATATGTTGCATTAGCCACATTTTCGAGGATCAGAAACCCTCTTCTTACCATAATTATCAGCTATTACGGTGCTAAACCAATACAGAGAGAAATACATAATAATATCAGAGACGATTTCTAGCTTAGATCGTACTAGCAATATTTGATGTGTCTAACCCTCTTCTTCGCTTCTCTACTTGTTATACACTGAAGTCTTCAAACTATTCATTGGAGACCTACAAGGATACCCAGCTAGTAGTTTGAGAGTCGTTGGAAACCTCAGACAGAATTGGTTTTGCTCCTGCAGTTGCTTCATTTGACTATCGCAGGTTTCGTAAAATGGAATCAGCTGCACTATCCTTAAGTATAAAATTGTCAACTCCTATTTTGATTTCTTTCCCGGTTTTTCAATTATGGAGTCTATTACCGCAACGACTGTTTTCAGTACCATCAACGGTCATCTTCAAGCGCATATCTCACCATCATCAGAGCTAATGCGTCACTATCATGATCCAATGTACACTATCACCGATGCGGGTTATGAGTGATCCGGTTGACGATCTTCAATGACGATATCGACTAAGTGACACGTGATGACAGGATCGATGATCTTTCCATCTTCATTAGTACACAGACTTTCAAGAACACTAGCTCAATTGGTTCTTCCAAACTACCATGAAATACCACTCAAATTGGTACTTGTTCTCCTAAACCTCATAGCCTAGTTTCTCGTCTTTGTTGACATAAGGAATCATTGATAATCCTTTAACCAATTTCACCATATGCACTCATCATGATAAACATTAATACTTAAGATAGTTTTGCAATCATTGAAATTCCATAGGGATGTTTTTCCAACGTTTTCTTCTCTATTTCGTGTCAATACGGAATTCTGCAAAGTGCATCATATCCCGTGATCTAATGCCTGAGATGCATCACAAGCATTGCTTTTGGTGAGCCTTGGGCTTTTGGGTTAAGGTGAGGACAGAGGTAATGTACTTGCCTGTGTCTATCAAAATGGTTTTTTCTATTTTAACTAGATGTAATGCGATATGTCTTGAACATAACGTGTCAATATGAGTGTATTGATTCTCGATATATGCCCAATATGATGGTTTTGTTAGTACGCTAGTATAGGATTAAAACAAATTGTGAGAATCTCCCCACAGGAAATTGCTTATGAAAAAGACAAGTTTGCAAATCGATTGACAAGGGTTGTTTTGTGAAGACCACAGGAATTTAGGAGAATAAACGAAAGGTGCAAATTGCATGTGTGTTTGCACCCCTTCTTTGCAATTATTGCTTACTGATTAGTTAATGGATTTATATACTTATCATAGTTATGTTCTTACTCAAATCCTCTCAATAATCCTTTTGACCCTCACCGACCCCCACCGACCCTTCCCCCACCATCGCCGGCCTTCCCGACAATGGTGGGGTGGTGGCGAGGGCTTGCAGCGAGCCCTCGCCGTTAGTTTCCAACTTTGCCTCCCTCTCTTTTTTTATTTATTTATAATTTACCTTATTTTTTATTAATTTAAATAAAATTTATGTAAGAAATTATATTTTGACAAAAACAATGTTGTTTTAGTCATGTCATCACCACGTAGGAAAGAGAAAATATTTTAAAAAATCACGTCAGTATATTCTCTTAGCCAAGCTGGACGGAGTTAACGAAAAGACTTGATTGCACCAATATGACAAGTTTTAGGACTCGATTGCACTTTTATGACAAGTTTTATGACATCTAGTGAACATATCCCTAAAAATTATGAAATATAGATAAAGGTATGGACAAAAAAATAAAATAAAAATCTCAACCTGTCAATTGAAAATGGAGAAAAAAATAATTAAGTAACTTCTTAATATATAAAAAAAAAGGAAAGGAGGGCCGGATGGAGTGACACGTGTCTTCCCCAAAACCTTTCTTTAGTATATCATTCTAGGGTGTACAATATTTGTACTGAAAAAGGGTTACACCAACTCTTGTTCTGTAAG